CTCCTGGTTGAGTCCAATGATACAAAGTTAATTAAAAATAGTTTTATCCAAAAATGTATATATATATATATATTTTGGGTAATACTGACTAGCCTGCAGCATTTTTAAAATGAAAGATTGTTCTTTAAAAAAAAATTCTCCCTTTTAAATTAAGTACTCAGTTATAGCATTGCTATTAATATTATAATAATTTTTTTTTTAAATACTAGCTAAAATTATAATGTGCACGTCTTCTTCGGCTGGTCTAATTGTATAGTTCAAAGTTATTGCATAACAGAAATGAAAAGTATGGTATTTAGACACATATCAACACAACACAATCAACATAATCAATTGTAAAAAATAAAAACAAAGTTCTTGGTAAAAATATTTAATATTGTTTATTTATCAGAATTAGACAACAGATGTTGCGACGTCACATTTTTGCTTTATAAAAAAGGAATGTTAGAAAACGAATTTTAGACGTTATTTCGCGTTTTAGATAACTGTTTTAATAAATTGTAATAGTTTAGACAAGATTTTGGAAAAATATCGATGTTTAAAACAAAATTCAACTGCAATTTTGAGGGGGGGGGGGGTTGTAGGTTGAGGTGTGACGTCATTTTAGGGGGGGGGGGGTCTGGTTTTTGTGACGACGTGTGACGGAGGGGAGGGGGGGGGGGTAATAATCGTCAAAAAAGCGTGGCGCCATTTATGGATGACCCCTTTATTGTGATGGAAGCATGGTCGAGTCGGCAAAAGCTCATGGTTGATAAATTCGAAAAAAAGTCTCGAGTTCAAACCCTTTGGCAGATAAGGCTCGATCCCTCCCAACTCTAAAAATTAAGAACGAAGACGAAGAAGATATACAAATTGAAACCATACGCTAAATAATGACCAGGGGTATGTGCAGAACATATTTGCACGTGAGTGATTTACTGGTTATATCAGTTTGTGATGTTCGTGTGTAAGTAGGTGTTTTGGACTTCATTTTACGCTTGCACTAATGCTGTGTTTCTCTGAAGAACACTTCGTGTTCGATTAAGTCTCTGATGTTTGCAACTAGCTTCATGCCGACGAAGGAACTCCATATCTTTTTTGGTGTCTTCCGAATGACTCGTCTCAAAACGATGTTAAAGTTTTAAAGGTTTCATAGACTCATGACTGAGTAAAACGTTGCACAGAAGCCATTGTTTTTCTCTATTTCATTTCATGTGATGTTTGGAAAGCCGAATTTCAGATATTCTTCTAAATATTTTTTATTACTAGGGATTAGTCTACCATTTCGCGACTTCACCCCCTGCCCCCATAAGGGAATCTTCGCGCGAGGGGTCGGATCCCCAGTTTTAGAACCAATGTTTTAAACAATTTAATTATTTTCAGAAAAAATTAAACAAAAATGTAAGGAATAATACAATACATTTAAATTCACCTCCATCGAGTGTTCAAAATTTTGATTATAGAAAAATCAAAGCTATTTATTTAACGTGTCTCTAATATAAACTAGAATTTTAAGTAAACTACGTGTTTTAAATATTTTATGAATAAGTTAAAACTGTTTAATTTATTAACATACCATATTCAATTTTATAATACGTTTGTTAATATCATATTTAAATACTAAATTTTGCGAGTTTATTTTTTATAATACAGTTTTTGTTATTTAACTCCCTTGATCAAGCATTTCTAATGTAACATTAACATGGGAGTTAATTAAGTGTAACATAAGTTTGGTAATTTATAAAACAGCAACACAGGGTCAATTTTATAATGTACATTTAATACACTTACTAACTAAGGCCCAGTGGTGGAACTACATTGAATCTGGAACCCTAAAACAATTTTAAAACTCTAAAAACACATTTAAATTATTATAAAGGAGCCTAAAAAGCTATTTAAATAATTTCAATCGTACATTTCTTATTTAAAGAAATAAAGTTATTAAAATGGGTTATTTACTAATCTAATACTAGTTATATATATATATATATATATATATATATATATATATATATATATATATATATATATATATATATATTAATAGAACAATATTTTATTTTTTTTACTCAATGTTTTAGTGTTTTAATGAATGTGTCATTAGTAAATATAGTGGGGGTTGGTGGGGGGGAGGGGGGGGGGGGAGGGGTAATCGTAGAGTTTTGTCGATTCGGTTTTGTCGTACATGTCGAAACTGAAAGTGTATTGTCCGTCGGTTTTTCGTTGATTTCCCAGCGTGCTAACATCAAATTCAGTTGAGCTAAAAAAATAATCACGTGCCAACCCTTCCGTAATTGCGTAATAGAATGGACTTTTTGCTAATCAACTGCCTATTTACGTGGCCCTTATGTTTTGGTAGAAATATGCTATAGATATTGACTTGCATCTTAATGTGGTAGAAAGGATTTAGATAGTCATCCTTAGACAGGTCTACGGTGATTATAGTTCCTAAAGGGGTTGGGCTATTGGTTTACACTGCAACGCAAAAGTAAACATGTATTGTTATAGATCATGCACACATTACTTTATTTATATTATATACATATCACATACAAAGTGTTTATGTTTTTTGTTACTATTAGATTTGAATATTAAATGTTGCTAGTTTTTTTGTTTAAAGAATAATTTTAGTTTAAGTTAACTCCCTTGACACCATGTTTGATAAAGTAACATCAACAAGGGAGTTAAGTGTTATAAAAGTTTGGTAATTTATAAAAGAGCAATACACGGCCATTTTCATATTATACATTAAATACATTTACTAACTAAGGCCCAGTGGTGGAACTAAAATGACATTAGAACCCCGAAACAAATATTTTAAACACCTTTTAAGTACAATATACTATAAATTATATATCAGGCAGGTATATAACCCCCCTCCCTCCGCATATGTTTTGATAATATTTTTACAATAAAAATCTTGTCAAAATGAGCAAACTGGTGCGACACAGTTGATTGTGTAAATATCTAGAGGATACCGTTGTTGGGTCACTGTCAAGATGTTATTGTTGATTGTGTGGCTATCTAGATTTCACTGTTGGTTGTTTGATTATCTAGCTAGATCAGTGGTTCCCAAACTTTTTCGGGTGGCGACCCGCTTTTATATACGTAAGTGACCCGTGATCAACAAAGAATTAAAAAGTCGACATTAGTAAGAAAATTCTAGTATACTTTCAATATGAATTATTCTTGACAACTGTATTTATACGATGAGTAAAATTACATGCTTTTAACTAGCCTCAACGTTCGCGGTTGAGATTTTGTTACGCCGCAGTTCGTTTTCAAGAGATTTAAGATGCTCACAATCCTCTTTCAGATATTTATTTATCTCACAATCAGATCCATCTACCACACTGCAGAGTTTCTCAGTCATGGCATTATGTCCAATATTTTTGTTCTCACCAGTTCTGCAGTTTTGATAAAAATGCCCCAAGATTATCACGAAAAGAGATAATCTTCGTTAATTTTCCCTAAAGCTTCATATTAAGCTTATGTTGATGTTCGAATATATCTGCTAGCGCGATACTCTCTCCAACCACTATTTGTCGTTGAAGTATATCAAAAGGTCTTGTTTTCCTTGCACTTCCAAGAACAACTTGATTTCATCTTTCAATTCAAAAACACGACATTTCCTTTTGACAATCAACGTACTGTAGTGTAGAAAAGCAAAACATCGTGATCAGAATTCATACCTTTGCACAGTTCTTTAAACACACGGGTGTTTAAGGCTGCTGAGTTAATAAAATTTACGACTTTTATTAAGAGTCTTGATGACGATGGCATACCGGTAAATCATTATGTGGTTTCCCCTTGGTTAGAGAGCTAAATCTTTTTTTTTCTTTCTGAAAGCCCGATTTTGACCCAAACTTCTGTACTAGCCCCATCCAGTTAATAAAAAAAACGTGTTTATTTTCTCCATGATATCTTCACAAAATAGCAACTCTTCTTATTATCTGAATGAATATATGTCACAAAGACAAGCAACAGTGAACACGCTAGTGGTGGGGTGATGGAGGCATCGTTTGGTAGGGGGTGGGGATCGTTTGGGTGTGGCGAACCAGGCACCAGGAAAGGTGTTGCGTGAACTTATTATTGTGGTGTTTTGTTTATAGTTTGTGTTTTCGTGTGTTTTCCTTATTGAGACGTCTTCCAATATCAGGTCTAAGGTCTGTCTAGTGAACCACCGTTTGGCCCTAGGGAATAAGACTGCTGGATCAAGATTTATTACATATGGAGGATTTTTCTTGGCATGGGGATGTGCTGTCATTCTCTGTACAAAACATGTTTTGCCAGAACCAGCCATTCCAAGCAAAATAATACATGTTAGTTTTTTAGAAGTTTCTGAACCACCAGATTCAGAACTTTGGGGATTTTTTTCCACGGGGTCACTTTTCACTCGAACTCTGTCTGATTCTATTTTCTTCTGTGATATTTTAGGTTCATCTGCAGAGACGCGCGCCGTTATTTTCAGATCTCTCTAATATTTTTATTTATTTTTTTTTTTTTTTACATTTTTTTTTTTTTTTTTTTTTTTTTGTGGCCTCAGACATGTAATTTACAGCGTCAGTTGTGTGTTCGCTTTACTATTACAGTTTTCATCACCGGCGTGTGACTCTTGGTAATGAGGGCACGCTACCTTGAAATATCCGCCAGTCCGGTTGAGTGGGGGTAAGTGTGTGTGTGTGTGGGGGGGGGGTGAGGTGTGTACCTCTTTCTACCATTCAGGTTGTGCACTTGTAAAAACCTGGGAAACAGAAGACTGTTCTAATGTTAATTTACTTGAGGGCTGATCGAGCGATGTTTGGCTTGCGACTGTCGATATACGCATCTAGTTTATTTGCTTCTTCTGAAGTTCCAATGTTAGTCTCCTGTAAAAGTAGAATGTCAATATTGTGTTTATTTATTATGTTTTTTTTTTTTTTTTTTTTTTTTTTTTTTTTTTTTTTTTTTTTTGTTGTTGATTTATTAATAATAAATTACTGTGCTGATAAAAAGAAAAAAAGCATCAATGGTATTGGGTG